GGAGGCTCACGGTGCAACAGATATCCACCTACAGCCCATGGAGGACCCCACACCAGAGCAGGGGGATGCCCAAAGGAGGTTGTGACCCCATAGGGGTCCCACAGTGGAACAGTCTGTTCCTGAAGGGCTGCACCCATGGAAGGGACCCACACCGGAGCAGTTCATGAAGAACTGCAGCTTGTGGGAAGAACTCATATTGGAGAAGTTCATGGAGGAGTCCAGCACGAGGGACCCCATGTTTGAGCAGGGAAAAAGTGTGAGGAGTCCTCCCCTGAGGAAGAAGGAGCAGCAGAGACAATGTGTGACAAACTGACCAGGACCCCCATTCCCCACCCTCCTGCACCACTGGGAGGGAGGAGGTAGAAAATTTGGGAGTGAAGTTGAGCCCGGAAAGAAGGGAAAGGTAGGGGGAAGAACCGTTAAGATTTAGGGTTTATTTCTAATTATCCTAGCCTGATTGGTAATAAACTGATTTCCCCAGGTTGCAGCTGCTTTGCCTTCCTGCCTTTCTCTCCAAACTCCCCTGATGAGGAGGGGGCTGGCAGAGGCCCTTGCTTGGCATCAGCCTGCAAGAACCAGGCTGGGCTTAAAGAGCAGCCCCATAGCAGAAAGAGCCACCAGCAGCCTGAGCTCAGAAGGGTTGGGCCTTCTGCCCTCCCAGGCTCTCACATCCCTTTTCCTCTCAACAGCACCACCAAGGATGTGCAGGCACTCCTCATGGCTCCGCAACCCTCTCCGCTCACCAAGTGGCAGCCAGAGCTCTCCCTCCTGCACAAGCTCACCCCACTGGCCACACATACCTAGCACAGCCAGGGGTGGGTGAACAGCAGAATCCTCACCTCTGCCTGGCCCTCCATCAGCATCTCCAGGCTCCTGGTGCGGAATGTCCTGTATTGGGCAAGGAAGAAGAGGGGAAGAAGGTGAGCAGCTCTATCTCTACTGCGGGCTGCAGGGTCAGTGCTCAGGGATAGAGCCCAGACCAGAGACACAGCGTGGAGGTGGCTCATGTGGTGTTTGCTTTCTTCCAGCCCTCAGGCACATCTCCCTTTTGGAGTGGCCTCACAAAGCATCTGCTTCAATAGAAGCTGATTTGAGTTCATAAGCAAAGAAGCTCAGTAACTGCCATCATTTGTGCGCTCCATGACCATGATAATACCGGCTGCTTTTGCTATCAACACACCTGTCAGATCTCTTTTTAGCTTTACTAGGCTCTTGGCTTGAATGTTTTCATGTGGTGTAAATGATCTGAGAAAGGGCTGAGTGGTAACATTATAATCAGTGTATCAATACACGGGACACCCACATCCCAAACACCATATGCTGTCTAGCTGTCCCATCTTAAAAGGTTAAAAAAGAAATTATCAGCTGAGAAAGCTGACAAGGATCTGCAGTGTCACAAATGATGCAGTGCATATACATAGCAAACAATTATTAACTGCTTCCTACAATAGAAGCCAGGAAGCACCAGAAGACGTAATTTGGCAGCTGGTCTAAACCCAACAGAATAAATTACTTTTCCCATTGCACATAATTACACAGCATAATTCTTGACTTCACAATACCCTGTGATAATCAAAAGTATGCATGTCTGTTCTTGGGCAGCACTGAATTCCCCCACACCAATTATGCAGCAGATGGTAAAAACCACCATCACCAAATGAACAAAAAAAAAAGGATTGGGCATTATTAATGGGGTTTCTTAATTTCATGAAGTTCATGAGGTATCCAGGGGTTGATATCCACAAGCTGGTGATGGATCTGATCCCATTCCTTGGCTGAAGACAATGGGGGAATTGCCTGTATCAGCTTTATAGAAAATATCTGTGATTTGCTGTAACTTTGCCCTCCACTGTTATTATTGCAAGGGATCAATGAGCCAATTCCACCTCCATGAGAGAGAAGTAAGATAGAGCAGGCAGCACCTGAATTGAAGTGAATGAACCCTCACAACATACATTGGACATTATCTTCCAGGCACGAGGCAAGACGACAGCCCATGCAGAACAGCAGCCACAGCAGCTTTAGTGAGAGCACACGGCAGGCAGTCATGGGAGTAGTCAGAAGACAGGGCCTGGGGGTGCAGAGGCAGATCTGGCATTGGCATCCTCCTCTAGGGCAGCCTGCCACTGTTAGAAGGATGATGCTCACCTAGAAAAGGCCACCCGGAGTCACAGCAGAAGCTGCTGGATGTTTCCATAGGCATAATCAGGTCGGAGCTGGCCACTGGAGGCTCTGCAGCAGGGAGCTGGAGCAGTCAGGATTTCAGCCTTGGCAGCACTATTCTGCTGCTCTCTGGAGGCAAACACAGGCCGAACAGGACCCTCTCTGACTTGCTCTGTCAGAGAGAGGACGGAGGACATAGACACTCACACAGACGTTCATAAACTTGGTGTTTCTTGGGGAAATAATTGCACGAGTGTGGGGTCCCAGGAAGGGAACAGTCACAGCTCAGTCACAGAGGTTAGGACTCAGCTATTGCAGGTCATGTCATGTTAATTCTTTCCATAAATCTGTGAACACCCGCCTCACACTAGTTAAAAGCTGACTAAGGTTTAGATTAGGGTCACAAAATGCACACATACATTGTGGGTTTCATTTAATCAATAACATTTATATGATAAAAAGTATGGCATGGCAAAAGCATAAAACTAAAACTTTCCCAGCTCCCAAGGTTCATGAGCATAGATGCAGAAATAAACTCCTATTGCACTGGGAACCCTTGCTGGTGTATTCAATATTGGGCAGAGAAACATGACAGCAGGGTGATGTGATGCAATTTAGATGTATTAGTTTCTGATTTGTGATTGCAAATTGAATTTTGCCTGGCCAGAACCCCAAACACTCAAACGATAATAAAATACGTGTGGAGAGTTTGCACTCTCAGTATTTATTATTTACAGACTGAACCCATAGATACAAATGCCCTCCTCTGCTCTTAAAGCACACTGTGCTTCTCCTGGTGCACAGTCACAGGGCTCTTCTCCAATGCAGCCCATAAGGGGATGGTGTGGCACTGGAGAGAGATGATTGTGAGCTCCCAGGATTGCCCTGAGTAGCACAGCATGTCCTTTCCCACATCCAGGACTACTGATCTGGTGGGTGTATGAAGGCTGGGAATGCTTTTCAGCCAACAGTAGTGGCCAAGGGTGGTCAGGTATAAACTTCCATATATGCAAACATACATGTATCAGGAAGCAAAGTCATGGTGCTGATAACAATTGGAGGTGAAGTAATAGCTTAGTATGCAGGTAAAATAACTAATCGACTAAAATACAAATGAACCAAATTAATAGAAGTCAATTGCCAATAGAATAAAGCACAGTATGAAATTATGCCCATGATTCAGTGTATGGAGGAAGAACCTGACTTGGGTTATTCAGGTTAGAGCTGCAGCATGACTAGAAGCTGTCTGACATCGGTACACATAGTGCTTGCTGCTCACTGGGCTGCCTGAATAGAAGAACCAATGCTAGACAGCAGTGACAAAAGAACCTGAAATCATGGCTGGTGGCAAAGACAGGCTATGGAGTAGTCAATATTAACACCACCCGCCAGGTTAACAGCTCTGTAATAACCAAGTGTGGATCAGAACACAACTACAGAGAGTGAGTGAGAATGGGTCTTGCAGAGAAGAGACAATAATGTGTTCCACTAAACCCCCCTGCAGTCATATTCTTGCAGGTGCCAGCTCTACCCTTGGCTTTCCTTGAAGTTCTCTCCCCAGCAAGCAGAGAGAGGGGGTGGGACTGGATTACCTTTAAGGTTCCTTCCAACAAAAACCATTCTGTGATGCTGTGATTCTATGAACATCTGTTTGTTCAGATGGAAGGCAAGAAGGGGCACCCAATATCGGCATTTATAGTTAACCATTGCCTGTGGACTGCAGTGCAGCTCAGCTGGCCCTGCAGAAAGCACTGTCCCAAAGCCTGAGGGAGTAGCAGCCTAGACAGCAATGAGGATGGAGTTACCTCCAGGGTAGCCAGCATCCCACAGATTAACAAAGATTGCTCTCAGCAATACTTCAAAGTGTCTCCCTGCCTCCATTCAGAGTTCCCTAGCAGGTGAGCAAGAGCTCATATTGGAGATAGGTCTACAGCACAATGGGGCTTAAGGGTGTCTGTCCCATTACCAAACATTTGGGTGCCCTAATTCAGGAGCATCTCCAACTGCAGCTCTCTTCCACATGTTCCTGACAAGACCCCTGCCCATAGGAGTAACCCATGGGGACCAAGCATAGCTCTGCTGGGGCCAGCTCTTGCCAAAGGCTCAGGCAAGTCCCTGAATTTTGCAAGGTTAAAGTTGTTAACTGATGGCACCACACGAGTGAGGATCATCAGAGAAAGGGATCAGGATGATGGGTGACAACTCTGCATCTGCAGCTCCGTGGGTCTGTGAGGCTGGCTCGTCACAGGAGCCCTCCAGGGTCCTGGATCCTTTTGCACAGCGCTTGGCCACTCTCCACACATAGATACCATCGCAGCAGGATGGAGCGGCCGCCAGCCTCTGCCAGACATGGAGGCATCATGCTGCCATGGGACAAACCAGCAGGGTAGGAGCCATGGGCTTGAGAAGCTGTGCATGGGTGCAGGAGCAGTGCCCACACCAGGACACTGCGAGCGGGGAAGGTGATTGTGTAACAAAAGACGTGTGAACACACTGCGCGAGGGAAGACTGTATGGGGCCAGTCGGCACTGGTGGCTCCCGGGGGTACAGCATGCGGCGGGCACTGGTGTTCGCGGGGAGCGGCGCTGATGGGGAGCGGGGTACGGCGCTGACACACACACACCGGGAGCCCTCGGGCTTGGCACTGGCGCTGTGGGGAGCTCAGCCTGGGGGGCGGCGCTGCTCATTGTGGGGATACGGCTGGGAGGCGGTGTCGGAGCCGCTGCGGTGCCGCTCGGGGGGCGGCGCAGGGCGGAGCGGGCCGGGGGAGGTCCTGGCGGTCGTTCCGCCCTCCCCGCGCTGCGGCCGGGGCTCGGCCCCGCTCCGTCCCGCGGTGCAGGGAGCCGGGCCGGTGGCAGAGCTGCCGCCCGGGCCGGGGCAGCGGTCCGGCCGGCCGCCATGGCCCGCTTCTCGGCGTTCCTCAACCCCGTCCTGGTGCTCTTCAGCTGCGACCTTTGCCTTGTGCGAGCCAGTAAGTGCGGCGGGACGGGACAAGGGGACGCGTGTCGCCCCGTTCGCTGCCGCGGGGCCCGAGCTGCCTCCTGCGGCGGGGCTGGCGGGGACGCGGGGTTGTCGCGAGGGACCGTGCCGGGCTCCGTCTGGGCCGTCCGCCGCTCGCCGGATGCTGCTGTAGGCTGGGGCCCCCCCGTACACCCCCGAGGGTTTCCCCTTGTCCCTGGTATGGCCTTGACCACGAGGCCTGGTCCTGCCGCTCCGGCCCCCGGGCAGACCCCGCGGGACGCCGTGCTGTCCGAGCTGGCCATGCCTTCGGCCGCGTCGCGTCCCGCTCCCTCCCCGTGGCACAGGGTGCGATGGTGCGGCCGTGCTGCCCGCGCTGGAGGGCACCAGGCTCCGCCGGGGGCACCTGGAGGTGCTGCCTGTGGCTTTGGCTCCCGAAGCCTCCCACTTCTAGGCGAGGCGGTGGGGAACTGTGGGCTCTCCATGTCCCCCGCGGAGGAAGGGTCTCCCCGTGTCGCGTCTCTGTCCCTCACCAGCGAGTCCTGAGAGAGTTAATGCCCCTTGGCAGGGATGCTCCAGTGCTGTAGGCTGGGCTGCTGGCTGACAGGCTGTTCCTGTGCCTTCCTGCCTTGCTTTCTCTGGGCTGGTGTTTGCTAAGACACTGTCGGCACCCTGGGGTAACTCTGTCTTTTCTTCCCTGGACTTGTCTGAATGACCCTGTGTCAGTGGCAGCCTTCTGCTGTCTATTTGCCCCTTGATATTAAATTGAATTGCCAGTATCAGACATGTCCTGATATGTTCTGACATGTTTTTAGTCTCTTTGCAAAATATGTACTTCAGGGCCTGACAAATTAGGGAAGAGATGCAGTTAGGGTTGTTAAAAAGGGGGCACTTATTTTTAGCTGTGCAGTCTGATGCTTATCTGCTTGCTGCAGGGATAAGTTGGGCAAACATCTGGGTGCCCTTGAGCAGCCCTCCCAAGGGCACAGGCTGAGGGACAGGTGAGGTCCCCTCTCTGGAGTCACAGCAGGATGGGGAGGACGTCAGTGGGGCTGTACCCCGTCCCTGTGCAGCACCCTATCTGCCAGCATCACTCCTGAAGGGCATCTGTCTGGCCCCTTCCCTAACCTACAAAGCCAGGTGGTGTGGCAGATCTAGTCCAGTGCTCAGCTGCCCACAGGTCAGCCCTCCCCATGTGCCCATGCCCAGCCTCAGGGTGCAGTGCTGGCTCCAGCACACTGGGCCAACTCTTCCCACCTCTTCAGCAGGCCTGAAAGGAGCGCATTGCTGTGCTGACAGGACAAAAGGGTGTGCCAGGCCTTAAGTAAGTGATTGCTCTTTCTGTGGTGGTGCCCATTTTCTTAATATGCCTTTAATCAAAAGTGAACCTGGATAACTTATAAATGATGCAGACCCATTAGCAATTAATGCATTGGGCAGGGCTTTACTGGGGCATGCTTTTCGCAGAGAGCCCAGCAGGCTGCCAGAGCATCTTGGCTTTACAGAATGTTTTTAATAGTTGGCTTCAAAAGAGTACATTTTTTTGGAGCCCTTGCACTCACAGATCTTTATGGCAACAGCTCTGGCATGAAACTGCTTTGACCTCAGCTGCAGAGCCGGATGGAGAATGTTAGGTTTAACGTGAGGATCATACACAAAGCTTCCAGCTCACAGAGCTGTTCCTTGGAGTTCTTGTCATACCAGCTTTCAGTCTTGCATATCTTTGGGATTAAACATTGCCCCTGTATTTCTAGGGTGAACTTCTCTAGCTTCAGCTTCTGAAACGTCTCTTCATGCTAGGTGTGCAAATCCTGTGTGCTCAGGAATGTATTTTCTGCTGTTTTCTGAATAACAAACTGACCAAGGGACACTCCAGTGAAGTGTTTTTCCAATGAAGAACTGCAGCCTGGGCAGTTTCAGGTCTTACCATCACACGGGTTCAGGTCTGCTTACCTGGAGCTTGCACAAAGTGTGTTTACAATGCATGAGACCTGAAGCACTGACCAGCCATGTGTGCTGTGACTGTGCTGTGTCCCCATGTCCTCTTGCCCCTTTCTCCATGTGGGACATCTGGGCACTGGTTCTGGGTGTAGCAGCAGATCATGCTGGCTTGGAGTGTACTGTGTTTGATATCAGGGTGGTGTCCTCCCCAGGATGCCCTTCTGCCGCTGGTGAGTGAAGGTCCCTGCACAGAGCCTGTGCAAGCTAAGTGCAGTTCCAGCAATACTGTCAGCCCTGTGTGCACCCAGCAGTGTGGCTCGTGGATCAATGCAGTGTCCGTGTTCTCAAACCATGGAGTGACTCAGCCCTAGGGCCACGTCTCAGCATCCCCAGCCTGGAAACCTGGGCTGGGCCGGCCGGGCTCCCTGTGGAAGCCTAGAAAATTCTTCTGCAGAGCAGGCAGCATGCTACAAGCTCCATCCACAGACTTTTACATTCCTGAGGTATCAGACCCTGCCTTTAATTTCTTTGGATGCAGTTAAAGGTTGCGAAGTCCAACAGCCCTCTTTGGGCATGTTCAGATCTCTTCTCATTCTGTTAGATGCAAAAAGCTACCTAATTTGTTACTGTAGATGTATCCTGTTGTCCTGCTCTTGTCCTAAGGCCAGCTGGCAGGGTCTGGTCACATCTGCAGCACTAAGCACATGAGTTCCAGGGAGGGGAGCGCATCAGTGCTACCTAGTAGGAACGGTTCATAGCTTGTGTTGACTCCTGAGCCAGACCCTAGGGTGATTTGGGCCCATACTGGCTGGTTCAGAACAAAGCAGTTCCCAGAACTAGCTTCCACCATGCGATTGCTGGGGTGGTTCTAACCTCGTTATATTTGCTAGCATAGAGGTTGCCTTGGACAACTGTTCTGCTACAGTTGTCCGGTTGGACAACCTGAAGGCTGGTAGAAACACTGCAGCCACCCCTAAGATGCTTCTGCTTGGGACAGTGCAAGGGAGTGGTTATTTGCTGGCTGACAAGGTGCTGTCTGCTGCTCAGTCATTAGTTGTACAACTAACTTGCACACAGGCCATGGCTGGAGTGGAAGACCAGACCACATCTATGGGGACCTCAGCTCCTGTGCCCACAAAATCCACATGCTCCAGTCAGTGGCCAGGTCTGGGGACTGCAGTGTTATTCAGCCTGTTTTGCTGGTGGAAGACAAGGATGTGCAGATAAAGACATGGCTCAGAGACTCCCTCTCATGGGTTAGAGTTGTGAATCAGATTCCCGCTGGCAAAACTCTAAGGAGACACACTCTTTGTGGAATAAAGGACATTTGGGTCTATCTTTAAATCCTTTCCAGTTTTCCAGCCTCTTGTTCTGAAAGAGAAGGTGCAGCATCCCGTGATGTCCTTGCTCGTGTTGTCTCCAGTGACTCTCCTGGTGATGCAGCAGGCTTCTACTGGTGATGCAGCCCCAGTGTCTCTCTGAGAATGTGTTTTCTGGGCTCTGTGGATGACTCTCCTATATGTCTTAATTGCCCACAATTGACCACAACCCTACCTTTCTCAGAGTGGGAATCACAGCCTTCTCCTGGTTTGTTCTGAAGCTGCATCTATTCAGATGTGAATTTAAATAGCTGACGTGCAGAAATTACCTTTCCTAGTAATTCTAAATGTGTTACTTGGTGGTGTTCTGGTTATCTCTTTTTCTTGTTCTCAGGTGCCCTCTGGGGCTCTTTTTCTATCTTTATAAATCTCAGCATTGAACTACACAAGCAGCTTGTAGAAGGACGCTGTCTTGTTTACAGTGAGAGAGGATACATGAACAGCAGCCTCAATTTCTTTCTTCATGTGCTCCTGCTTGTAATTTCCAGACAAAATTTAGCTTTATGAAGGTCTTTGTTCCGATGCAGGATCCTGCCATGCTCTTAGTTCTGTGAAACCTCAAAACAGTGATGGTGCAGAGCATGGGTCAGTCAGGCTAGCTTTCTGAAGGATAGCAACGGCTGAGTGTTGCTGCAAGCTTTGCAGCCGATGGCATTGCACTGCTGGGGAAATCAGCTCTGCCTTCTGCATTGGGTTTTCCTCCTCACTCTAGAGCAAGGAGTAATTCCAGGCAGATGAGATGGCCAGATTGAGTTGCATAGTGTGTTTATTCAAAGCTGCCCCATTTTTCTGTCACAGTTGATATATAAATACTGTGTTTGGGCTGCTTCCTACGCAGTTCTGAGTGGTATGCCAGGCATTCAGTGATGTGCATATCCACGGGGCAGCCCCAGAGCTTAGAGAAGCTTGATTTTTACCATCACAGTCTTGGTTGAAGACTTGCATTAATGTAGGATTTGTTTGGATTTTCTGGACCCTACAGAAACGCCAGCCTTCATTGCCAAGAAATCTTCTCTGTGTCCAGGCTATGCAGGAGTATATCATGTCAGGCAGCCTGCTTCTGCTAGTGCTGGAGCTGAATGAAGTAAACTTAGCAACAGATGAACATCTGAGCAGCAGTGAAGGTACTTCAGATCTGCAAGCAGATGTCCTTGTGAAGAACTGATGTGAATGTCATTCTCTCTGATAGCAGGGTCTCTGCAGCACTCTGAGACAAGCTGCAGGCACTTTTCATGTTATTTTGAGCTGCAGGGACTGGTTAAATTGTCACGACAGTCTCTTAAATTCTAATTCTTTCTTTTCTTAGGACAGGCCTTCATGCGTTTCCCATTTTGATGTCTGCAAGGTGGAAGGAGCCTACTGTGGGCCCTATGTGTCTTTAGCTGGGTCTGGCAGCTTGGGCACGTGGTCAGCATTGCTAATCCCTTTCACATGGAACACGTGTTATGAGCAATGGGCTATATCTGCCCATTGCTGCTAGCAAGCCCTTTAGAGAAGAAGCAGTCAGATGCCTCACGAGCTTGTCCTCCCTCCTGGCTGTAGGACACTGCAGAGGGTGAGGTGTGCAGTGAGCACATTTCTCACCAGCAGCCAGGCAGGGAGGAGCCCTGGCCAGCGAGCAAAGACTGCCCAAGCCATCAGGTGCCACAGAAGGGCAGGTGCACAGGCAGGGAGTAGCTCTGTGCCTGCACACCTCCCTCCAGCCCCACTAGCTGCCCAGCAGGCCAAGAAGCACCATGCCATGTATGTGTTAGTGATGGCAGGGGCTCAGCCCCATGGACCTGTGTGGGACCTGCTGTGCCATCCCCCTCCTGGGGACAGACTCACTGGAGAAGCTGCTCCCTGTAGCCCTGGCCAACATGCTGCTATGGAGAGGCCGCCCCAGGGTGGTGTGCGGGGGTGAGTGACTGTTCTGAGACTTCTTCTTTTGCCTCTCTCCTGTGCATTGCCTCTCACCAGACAGGCCACCGTCCCCTGTCAACGTGACTGTGACGCAGCTGAAGGCAAACTCTGCCACAGTTTCCTGGGACGTCCCAGAAGGAGACGTGGTCATCGGCTATGCCATCTTACAGCAGGTACCCAGGCTCTATCCCCAGGGATCAGGGGACCCCTCTCACTGATTACCAGCATGCTCCTATGTCAGTCCTTTTGCTGCAGTTTGGAGCTCCTCTACCACCTGTCTGAGGACACCTTTGAGAAACCAGGGTGCTGTGTCTGAGCCACCCATCCTGGTGGGAGGCAGCAGACTGTGGGCTGCACTGGGGGTAGCTGTCCCACCAGTGGCTTCCCTGCGATTTCTCTGGATGATGGTGCTTCAGCCATGATATAACCTTTCTTTGATTGCCTTGCTCCACCTCCGCAGCCCCAGATAATTCTCCAGGGAGGCACCTGGCTCTCAGGCTGCACAGGGATGCTGCATAGCAAAGTGCTGGCCAGCCTGGCCCACCTCAGGGGTGGATGATTGCCTGGGAAGGGAGGAGTAAGGGCAGCATGCAGGGCCAGCACAGCCCTGCAGACAGGGGGCTGAGGCTGGTCTTGCTGGGAGCAGCCTCCTGGGGATGACAGCTCTTCACTCTGGCAGCGGCAAGATGGACAGATGCAGCGCTTCATCCGGGAGGTGAACACCACCAACCGTGCCTGCGTGCTGTGGGACTTGGCAGAGGATGCAGATTACATCATCCAGGTGCAGAGCATTGGCCTGTATGGAGAAAGCCAGGCCAGTAAGCGTGTCCACTTCCGAACCCTGAAGGAGACCGACCGCCTCCCTTCCAACAGCTCCAACCAAGGTGAAGCGGCTCCTACCAGCTTGCCCAAGTGCTGCCAGTGGGTCCACATGTGGAGGTCTCCATAGCACATGCGCAGCAAGGAAGGTGCTGCACTGAGTAGCAGGCTGCTTGGAACACATGGGATCATGATAGGTAGCAGGGCTATACAGGCTGCTGTTGTACACTGCACTATGGCCATGGTGATGTCCCCAAGACCTGGTTTACACCCCTCCTTAACCCAAGTCTTGGCACCCTATTCAGCTAAGCAGGTTATAGTCAGGACAACTGCTGTGACCTGCTCAGCTGCTGCCTGTAGGAAGCAAATACTGAATGGGCTCTCAGATCTCCTAGCCTGCAAGCTACCAGAGGACAAATGATGGAGCTCCACTCTCCTTTCCTACTCATACCTACGTAGTGCCTTCTTGCCTTGGGGTTGTATACATGCTGGTCCATGATAGATAATCCAAGAATCCAAGAGAGATGATGCCCAGAGGGGGTCCACTGGGCATGGGAGTCTGTCTCCAGCACTAGCCATAAGAAGGAGATTTGGAGAAGACAGGGCAAGCAGATTACTTACTCCCCTCAGTAATTTTGTATTGGACTCAGGGCCTTCTTAACCTACCCTGGTCTCTACATAGGGAGTAACCTCAGTGATTACTCCCATGCATTGTGCAGTCCCTACTTGAACCCAAACAAGCTGTTAGAATCCCTGACTGCCTTTGGTATTGAGTGCAGTTTATCTGACACAGGAAAGCCACAGGCTGCATGTCCTCTTTCCAGCCAAGATGTCGTCCTATACCCATGCTTGTTAGGGGGAGGTTGGGCCTCCTTCCTCTGGGTCTTCTCAGATCCTCGAGTGTTGCTGCTCCTGAAGTAGGTTCTGGTGGGAAGGTACCTGCTGCCAGCCCTGCTTGGTTTCTCTTCTCTGCAGGTGACATCACCATGGAAGGGCTGGACAAAGACAGGCAGCTCCAGACAGGCGAGATTATCATCATTGTGGCTGTGCTGCTCATGTGGGCAGGTGAGTGCCACAAGAACATTCCAGCAGGCTCGTGCAGAGGTGCAGTCCAGGGCCCATGAAAAGGATGGTGTTCAAGAGGGTACAATCATATTGGTAAGGGTCTGGCATCCTTTCCAGTAAGTCCATTGAATCTCTGTAGGAGGTCATGCCTCAGTCTGCTAAAACTGCAAGATGGGTGATTTGCTCCTGTACAGCACTTGATTCAAGCCAGTGCTCTAGCAAACAGCAGGTTGCCCTGGGAGTAAGGAAGCCTAGGAGCTATGTCAGCACCTGACTGATCATATGCAGCTGCTGTGAATGGGAAGTCATTTGTCCCCAGCTCCCTTCCCAATAAATGTGGGTTTTCTGGTGGTGTCTTTCAGGAATCTCTCTTTGTCCTAGGTGCCTAGGGTGGTCCGTTATGGCAGAGGTGGAGGGTAATGGGTTTAAACTTAAACAGAGGAAGTTCAGGTTAGATATAAGGAAGAAGTTCTTCCCTGTGAGGGTGGTGAGGCACTGGCACAGGTTGCCCACAGAAGCTGTGGCTGCCCCATCCCTGGCAGTGTTCAAGGCCAGGTTGGACAGTGCCTATGGTGACATGGTCTAGTGTGAGGTGTCCCTGTCTATGGCAGGGGGTTGGAACTTGATGATCTTAAGATCCTTTCCAACCCCAACCATTCTATGATTCTGATTCTATATGACCAGCACCCCAGGGTTCCCTGGGCCTGGCTGATTTCCATCTGGGATGCTGGGGGTGGGGAGGCAGGGGCCAGTAAGACATCCCCTGTCTTTTGGCAGCGGTGATTGCCCTCTTCTGCAGACAGTACGACATCATCAAGGACAACGACTCCAACAACAACAAGGAAAAGACAAAGCCATCCTCGGAGCACAGCACACCAGAGCGACCGAGCGGAGGGCTGCTGCGAAGCAAGGTGAGGGAAGGGCTGGCAGGAGGTATGGCATATGGTGTCTGCTGTGGCTTGCTGTCTGAACAGGTTCTGGCTCTCTCCAGGGACACCCCAGCTCACGCTCTTACCTTAAAAACTGAGGGGGTTTAGAGTGCAGTGAGCCCTGGTCTCTCTGGAGTAGTGTGTGTGTGCTTCATGGGCGATTGCACGAGAAACACTGGAAGAGATGGCAGGATAGTATCAGCTCCCACATTTGCAGGGTGGTACCTGCCCTCTCACTGTGACAGCCGCTTCACCATGCCCTTCCAAAGCTGCACCTTTTCTGCATCCCATAGGCAGGTTCAGGCAGGAGGGGGTTCCAGCAGCTGAAGAGCTGTTGTTATGGTTCCTGCACTGGTCTATCCCTGATCGCTTTCTGCCTTCACTGAGGCCTGCTCTGGAACATCACCACTCGGGTTATTCATGGGAAGCTCAGGGCAGAGGGCTCAGCAGCAGCTGGCAGCCCTTTTGTAGAAGAGGTGTGCTGGTTTGGTGCCTGCTGTGGGAGCTGGGGTTCTGCCGTGGGGTCTGCATCCCAGGCACTTAGCAAAGCGGAGCCTTAAAGCAGATTTTTCTCTCACAGAAGAAGTCTCCCTCGGTCAATATAATCGAGGTGTAGGTGCAGCACCAGCTCTGCGTCTGGGGTCCTGGGCATCCTGCCAGAGCCAAAGCAGGCCTTGGAAGAAGAGGCAGCACCAGGCGCCCAGCCTGGAACTCTGCATGCGAAGAAGACCCGCGTATCAGAACTTACGCTTTCCTGAGGGCACCTGCCCAGGGACGCGCATGGAGCCGGTTCCCAGCCGTGCATGCAGTGTGTGGCCATGCCCATCCCGCACGCCTGGCCCCGCTGCCCTGCTGCTGCGGAGCGCCGAGTGGAGAAAGGGTTGGGGGCCGCACCACCAGCCTCGGAGGGGCAAGCCAAGGGGAGCAGAGGGACTGGGGCGCAGCTTGAGGGGAGGCAATGTCCCTGCGTGCTGGCTTGGCCAAAGGCATGGGCGCAGCCCTGTGGCACTGGACACCTTCCAGTCAGGCAGCGTGGAGCAGGCCATGCTCTCGGCTCCTGTGTCTGGGCTCTGGGAGCTGCCCTTTTGGCCCTGAGACTGAGGGGCTGGGGCAATGCAGGCATTTGCCCCAGTGCTGCCAGGGGAGTCGTGGCCAGGAGGTGGCAGGGTTATCTGCGGGGCGGGGCCCAGCAAGCACAGCTAAAGAATGGATCCCTGCTGGAGAGTGGGGCTCTGCTGCACTCCATCATTGCCATGCAGGGGCTTCAAGGCCTCTCCCTGCTGCAGGGGATAAAGACACAAAAAAGCAGGAGGAGCTAGTGCTGCCACAGCACCTGGCTCACCTGCGAAGTGTGCAGCCAAGGGCAGGGAGTGCACAGCCATTCTGTGGGGTGGTGTGATGTCCATAGAGCAATGGGAGCAGGCAGTGCCAGAGCATGGCTGCAGCTTTGCCATTTCCCAGCTAGGGCTCAGTCCTGACACATTCAAGCTGTTTGTGGGGGAGCTGCTGAGCACCCCTGGGGCAGTGCAGTGCCTGTGCTGCCTGGAGGAGATAATGTGGTTAGGTCAGGCAACGTCTCAGCAGGATGTGTGCTGCAGAGCTCACTACTCCGGAGACAACACTAGCTTCAACAGTATCATATCCCACTCCTGGCTCCTCCTGTCTCATAAGGGGTACGGTATGGTTACTGCTGATGCTTCCACTCCTGGAGCTGGACCAGTGGCTTGCACCAGGTTGGCTGATGTGACACAGTCCTGTTGGAAAGGGCTGCCCCTGAATGCCCAGGGCTGGTGGACTGCTGGCTTGTTGTCATGTGCCCAATCTGCTCGTAGGAGGACAACATGAGCCATCAGCCACACAGGGGCTGGTGAAAAGGTGATGCTTGGACTGTGCTTGTTTGCTCCCCAGAGCCTGCAGGCAGAAGTCTTTCACTGGGTATCAGCACTGCTCTGTTCACAGCTGAGGCTGAGCCCAGGCAAGCCCTTCCTACTGGTGGTAGGAGGGAATAGGGTGATACCTGGAGGTTCTTTGCTGCAGAGGTGGCAACTAGTGCCCTGGCTACTGCTCTCCCTCCATGCTCTGCTCTGCAGGCTGTCACTGAGCTGGGTACTGGCTCTGCAGCCCTGGACTCAAGCATCACAGGATCCATCGTCTTCCAGGAATAAACTTCCCAGTAAAGCACTTTCAGGACTCTTACTTCCAGGTGCTGCTCAGCTCCTGCTGCAGGGCTAGATGAGAATGGGACAGGATAAATGACTCCCTGTGGCAGGGTCTTTTCAATAAAAGCATCCTGGCTCAAAGGCAGCATTGTTCCTGTTGAGGTGCAGGTTTGTGTGTGTACATGTGTGGGTACCATGTATCAGCACTTCTTGAACATGTGTGTATGGCTCTTACGAGGAGACCTGTTTGTGTGTGCTGTGCAAGAGCTGCAAGTCCTCTAAGGTCGTCTTGCACACCTCTGACCCTTAGTGGCATTACAGCTGCTTTCTCTGCACCAACAGAACAGGCTACAGAGAGCAGAGGCACCCTGGCAGCAGGGCCAGGAAGGAGGATAAGGCAGCTCCCAGCAGGCTGCTGGCGGGAGGGCCTGTGCTGCTCTGTGGTCTGGGGAGGAGAGGGGTACCTGAGCAGCAAAAGCACCATGGTGGTGGGGTGCAGGTGTTTCTGTGCTGTAACTTGGGCTGCAAGGAGCGTGGCCATAGCACCAGAGACACAAACCACCTTGTTTAGCCAGCTAACTTTAAACTTTAGGGAGATACTTTAAAAAAATATAGGGCTGTCAGAGAACTACCAGAGTTTTTGAAAAGCTCTGGTGCCCTGGAAAACATTTAGAGGTGCTGCCCTGGAGGGTCAGGGAAGACACATGCCTACTATCATGAGGTCTTCAACCAGACCAGGGGCACACAAAGAAACGAAGCAGCAGAGACAAGGAGCTGGGAGAGGCACCAAAAACATCTGACAAAATGCAGTCATTGTGGCCACATACAAAGCCTGTTATGTTAAATGTAAAATTGGATGCAGAACCCCAAGCCCCCAGTCCTTTCCCAGACCATGGCAGTGCAGGAAGGCAGAGAACTGCAGAGATGAGTGCTGCACACAAAAGGCAGCAGCAGGGTTCGACAAAGGTATTTTTCTAGGGCACCTACAAGCAGACACCCTGCAACAGCACCACAGTGGCACAAGGAAAAGGCTGTGTGGCTTGTGGAGCAATTCTAGCACACCAGTTTAAGAGATACTGGACAGTGCTAGCACATGTGAGTGATGGTGAACTCATTGCTAGCTTGGACATCACTAAAACTAAACAGACTTAGCAAAGGTTCTCAACACACAAGGCTGAGATTGTGTCTCAGGGAGCACTTCACTGACTACACCAACAGCTCGTTAAAGCCAGGAATAACAGCAGAACTGTCACCCAAGAAGTCCTGCAAGAAGCTATACAGGGCTGTATACACAGCAAAGAGCACTCCTCAGCAACCGTAAGTCCCACAGAGAGGCTGTTAAACTGTTTGGAATGCTTCTGTCTAGAGATGTGACAGCAACCAGGGAGCAAGGTAGAGGCCACTGTCCTCCCCAGTGGCAAGGAGATGGTGAAGAGTCATTCTCAGGACAACAGCAAAGGGCAAATGAAACCATGAGCATGTGGAAGCATTAGCAGCAGCACTGTCTACCCCTCAGCACTACCTGGAGCACTCAGCTGCAGGACAGCATGGATGCCAAGCGTCCTGCTTCAGTGCAGGGCAGGAAGCCACATCAAGGACTGTTAAACCCACACCACCAACAGGTCAGCCATCCCTCCGTGCTGGAAGCTGACTTGGCAACGACCTGCTCACCCTAATAACCCCAATAATATCTCCAGGTTGCTCTGTGCACTCAGCTGTGAGAGAAAAGGCACGATCCCACAATTCAACATGCAAAACCGCAAGTGAGAACACCAGTGTGCAGCTCTTGGCTGACCTGCAGGGATCCCAGAGTGAAAGCCTTCCCCAAGCACCTGCCTACTGCAGCTGCTGGGAGACCAGCTCTGCCACCACATGCTGCACATAACAAGGGCCACTCAGCTGGGGCTGGCAGTGTCACCAGCCTTAGAAGGCAAGATGTGCTGCAATGATACAGGAACCCAGCAGCAAGCTCCTCAGACAGAAGGCAGCTGCAAACTGTTAACTTGCTGGAGAAATCAGACATCCTGCTGAGGTAGACATCTCCTCCTCTATCTGGGGAAGGAAACCAAGTGCATGGCTTGCCCATGTGTCCGGACCACAGCCAGGCGTGCAGCAGAGCAAAGGCACCCCAGAGTAGAGCAGGCAAATGAGGGGGAGAGGTTGAGACCAGCTGGCACACTGGAGGCTTGTGTCCTTCCTGCCTCAGCATCATTAGTTGTCAGTGCTCTTCAGTGGAGACGACACTCACAGGTTGTCAAGATGCACCACTCCAGCACAGCGTGGACCAGCTCCCCCCAAGATAACAAAGAACACCCTGGGCCCCAGCAGCCTTCCACACAGGCAAACCCACTCCTTCAGGGCCAGCAGCAGAGGAAGACAGGAAGACATGGGAGGTCCAGGGCAGTTGCAGGCTCCCATGAGCTCAGGGAACAGCCCAGGCAGCACAGCAGACACACAGTACCTTGGCACACTGGTGCATGGCACCCCATCCAGCACTCAAACCCAAATAACAACAGTAAAAAAAAATCATTTTATTTCCCTATAAGGGCATAGCTTTCCCTTAAAAACCAGCTCATTTCCACTCGTGAGACGGTGTGGGGCTGAACGGCAGGGGCAAGGCCTCTCTCACTCCTCCAGGCCAAGAACTATTGCTCCCTGAGGGTCACTCATGCTAAGCAAGTATTCCACCATCTGCAGGGGGGCTGCACAGCTTCAACTGGTCCCCAGCTGCCACCACGAGGAGAAAAGTGGAAGAAACAAGCAAGGCAGGTCAGACACAGTGCAATCCAAGGCACACTGGCTGCATCCTGCAAGCTCAGAGCACTTGGGGTGGCTCTGCATGCACTGGAAGCAGGCACCAGCCTGAGCTGGGAACAGCTGCAGCTTGAGGCAGTTCATGCAGGCAGAAAGCAGGACAAGGAGCGGATGTCACAGTCTGTGCACTGCATGGCAACGGTGCCAGCAGACCCCGCGCCTGGTGGGCAGTGGCAGGAGCAGGCACTGTCTGGCCCAGAAGCAGGCACAGGGTGAATCCTGAGTGGCTGGTCCATGGTTGCAGAGATCTGGCTTAGCCCAGGGGAGTTTTGGGGCCAGCAGTCCTGGGGCCACCTGTGTGGCGGTCTCCAGCCACCGCCAGCTCCTTCTAGCTGTCTGGGGGTTGCCCCAAACGGTAGCACAGTAGCTGTGCAGTAGGAGAGCTCACTCTGGGCACAGGAGGTGCTGACTCTGAAAAGCAAGAGGGAGGAAGATGTGGTCCATGAGGGGTGTGGCCGGGAACCCAGCACAGCCTGGGAGCAGAAGCAGATCTTCCCAGGTGAGCCATCAGCCCTCTACCCCTGCAGAGGCCATGCTGGGGGACGTGGCAAAGCGGCACTGAAGGAAGGAACTTACCTGCTCGGCAGTGGGCTCCCCTCCCCAGCTCCTCCATGCTGCTTTAGAAGAGAAGAGAGCACCCATTATACCTCAAGCAAGGCCTGCTGAGAGACACAGCATGCTCATGACCCTGTCAACACAGGCATGGTGCAGCAGTACCAGGCAGTTGGAGCACAGAAGGTCCTCACCTACTTGCTACCAAACCCTTTTGCCAGGCCAGCCTGTCCTGAGATAAAAAGCCACATCTCTTTCCCACCAGGAGCTCCCACATACAAAGGGGTGCCACTTCATAGGGCTACATACAAAGGGGTGCCACTTCATAGGGCTACATACAAAGCTTAGTCTGTGCACATATTGGTTCCTGGCTGACACCAGCTCAGCCTGGGCTCAGCCCTGTGGTGCTACAGAGAACAGCCACAGTGGAACAGGCCTCTCACACCCACCACCACAGGCACTTCTGCAAAGACAGAATCACACAGAATAATTTGGGTTGGAAGGGACCTTCAAAGGTCATATAGTCCAACCCCCTTGCAATATGCAGGGACATCTTCAACTAGATCAGGTTGTTTGGACCGACAGGTTAATCCTCCACTGTTGGACTGGTACCACCAGCTCCCCCCAAATACAGGACAGACACCAGCAAGCTCAGCCCAGGCCCTAGTCCATACAGAAGTAGCATGACCAGGCCTCCATCCCGGCCCAAGCCTCAGGGAAATCAGTGGAAGGAGAGGGACAATTCTGAGTCCCACCAGAGTGTGTGTCTCATAGGCTGGCCTCAGCAAAGAATGGCAGAAACAAAACAAGTAATGTTTCTGGGTACATTTCCTGAGGGTCAGCATCTATACCCCACAGCTCCACTGCAAAAGCTGAACTGCAAGATCCGCCCCTCCACAGCTCAACTCCCTGTTAATTCAAACTCTCAGCTGACAAAGGCAGAGAAAGCAGCAAGAAGCTCCCCACTGCCCCCATGCAGATTTCCCCTGTGTTCCCACCATGCCCATGGCCCCAGCAGCTGCCCCTACATGGGGCACAGAGAAGGAAACAAGACAGGGTTCATCAGAGGGATACCTGAACACAAACAACAGCTCACCACCTACCCAGATAAGGTTTCAACGATGTTATCATCTTCTTCCTCCTCTTCCTCCTCCTGGTAAACAAACAAACCAAAAAACCCACCTTGACACCTCACTACCTGGGCAAGTAGCTGCTAGGACTGAGGCTGGTCTCCCCAGAGCCTGTTCTGGAACAGCAGACCAGTCCCTGGCCCCTTCACAAGCCACAGTCATCCACCAGGCATGGCACAGATAAAGGGCACCTTTGCCCAGACAGTAGTGGGGTGAACACATCTTGCTGCTGGAGGGCCAGGCAGAGGATCACCCAGGCTGTAAGCAAGTATAATCCCAAGCACTGCCAGGCTGGGCCAGCACTGGAAGCATGAGGCCAAAGACTAAGGGTCCAGAGGCTCCTGGGCAGGGACACAGTGAGACCGGCAACACTGGCAATGCTCTGACTGGCTCTGGACATGCACTAGGTGTAGTGCAGATGGGCAGGGCTGAGCTTCAGAGACAGTGTCTCACCCCTAGCCGTGCCACCATGTGTAGAGCAGATCCTGGTTTGCTGTTTGACAGTGCCAGCAGAGCAGGGCTGAGGGCTGCAGCAATGCTGGGTATGTCAGGAAAGCTTCTGGAGCAAAGACCACCTGAAGAACTGTGCCTGCTTTGTGAGACAGACAGAGCATAGTGCCCTTCTTCATGTTAGGCCAACATGTGTGACGGAGGCTGTGCAGACATCAACAGGGTCCTGGAATGCCAGGAGGGAGGTGTGTAAGGGTTACTCTTTCCCTGCCCTAATGTGAGACAGCCCTGGACATGAGCCAGACTTGCACATACTGTACCCCAAACTGGTGTCTGAAGGGAGGGCTCCCCGGGGGGGCTGGCTCACTTGGTCTGCCGGGCTCACTGCTCTCCAAGACACATGAAGGGTGAAGGGGCTGTTCCTGCCTAGAGCCTGGGACAGGGCAAAAGCAGCAGAGTTAGTGCCTGCAACCTGAAGAAGGCCCAGCAAGGGATGCACAGGCAGCACTGTGGGCAAGGGATAGATGCCCCTGCTGTGCTCAGGGGAGGGCACAAACAAGGGTGCAGGATCAACTGCTCAGGGCAGGTACCACACAGCCCTGAGCTGTGCTAAAGCTCAGCAATGCAGAAGAGCTCAGCATGGATAGCAGAGATGCCCCCAACCCCACCCCAGCCAAAGACAGGGTAGGCTCCCCATGTGGGGCAGAGGCAGAGAACACAACAGCAGGGGCAACAGTCTCCCTGCTTGGTGTGTTACAGCAGCCAGGCAGTGAGCTCTCTCTCCTCCACACAGCCCAGGAGAGGGTCCCACACTGGAGACCCTGATCCCAGGGTTAGGCAGAGAGATGTGTTTGAGAAATTCCTCCTACCTGCATGTGCTGCTTCCCAGAGATCCAATGCCATCTGGAAGGCCTGGGCCACAGTCAGAGTCACAGCCTGAGCCTGTGTATAAGAAAGAGAGGGAACGTCTCCTTCCATCTGGGCCCTCAAGCCAAGATAACCCCACTACAATGAAATGTGAGCCCCCAGGCCTCCCTCGCTGCCCTTCTCTGCGGAGCACACACACAGAAGGCCAGAGCTCAATGCTGTGTCTGTCTGCATGTGGCCCAGCCACTCCCAAGAGGGGATCCCAGAGGAGCTGGGACAGAAGAACCTCCTTTCTCTCACCACCTGTCTCTGCAGCATGTGAGCACACACGCTCCCTGGCTCCTTTTCCAGCTGAGGTGCACGGAAGTAAGGACCTTTTCTCTCTGAAGGGAGGCAAGTAAGGCCCTTGCTCCTACCCTTACCTCGTGAAGCCAAGAACAGAAGGGAACTGCTTACAATCTTCTTCTTGGGTGAGAGGAAGGCATGGCACTCCAGTGCCCCGCTCTCCTGGCTCTGGGCAACATAAGCAAAGACTTTGTTCTGCAGCTTGTCTGTTGTGCAGTAGGAGATCCTGCAAGCAGAGAGGAGCTGCTCAGGGTAGTAACAGGCCTGCTGTGGTGCCAGCCCACCAACGAACAGTGCCAACAGTGCCTGAGACTTTCATCTGCCCCAAATGATCAGACAGCCCATGTGCCCAGCAAGGTCCAGAGGCTGCCTGGCACCTACAGCTAGTAAGAGATTTCTGCATTCACAGGCATTCCCCTCCTGTGCTGCCCAGTGTGCTCCTCAGTCCTCTGATGCCCAGTTCAACCCAATGTATGAACTCAAACACTGAGACAAAATAAGGACAGAAAGGTGGGTGATTGCCTCCAAGGACATGATTGGAGGCCAGAACTCAAGGTTGACAAGGACCCAGCCTGTGTTCAGCCCTAGGCCATGCTGTGAGGCTCAGCAGGGAGAGGGCACGGGCCTCAGGGAGCCAAAGGAGCTTGAAGGGCCCACTGACACAAGGCCCATCCCTCCCTGGCTGCTCAAGACCACATAGGTCTCCCTGCTGGCTGCTGGGGAATACCCAAGCCTTCCACATGCCATGCCCACCTGTAGATGGAGATGTTCTCAACCATCTCCTTTGTGTCTGCATCCTGAAGCGAGATGCCCCTCGGAGACACTGTCAGAATCACCTTCTGGAACTTGCGAGCGCCTGCCCGTGCCTGGGAGTGGGGAGACACCAGACACCTCTGCTAATCTGGAAGGATCTTCACCCCTGCCTTTGCTGTCAGGAGCCCCCCAGACTCTGTATGGGCTGACACAGAATCATAGTTAGGGTTGGAAAGGACCTTAAGATCATCAAGTTCCAACCCCCCTGCCATGGGCAGGGACACCTCACACATCCACTTGGACCCTTGCTGCAAAGGCTCCTGCTGCAGGGATGGAAAAGCAGATCAGGCGTGGCCTGCATAAAATGCCCCTGGAATTCATTCACACTACTGCCATGCATATGGGAAAGGATAGCTCCCACCACTTCACCCTCCTCCCCATGCTGTGACAGGCACAGCTCAGCTCCTAGCCATGTTCCAGGTGTGGAAGCAGGAAAATAGCTCCCCTCACATCAAAAAGCCAGAGACCAGCCAGCCTCCTTCACATCACCCTCCTCCTGGGAACAGCTCCATCCCTCACTGGGGTTCAGGGCTGGGACATGGATGCTTCCCAAAGTCCATGGGCTGGGCTCTGAACTGGCTTTTCTCCACCCCAGCACAGCAGGGCCCCGGGGTCATCTCTCACTGTGGCCACGATCCTGCGAATGGCAGCAGCAGCCATGTCTTCTCCCTTGGGTTTTTCTACCAGTGTCATGCCTAGATACTTGAGCGTGAAGCACATCCCCTCAAGCAGTGGCTCCTGCATATCAGCCCAGCTCTCAGGAAGCTCTGCAAAGACAAAACACCTTAGAAGCCAAGTACTAGCAGCCCCATGGCTATGCCCAGCAGAGCCACCCCACTTTGTTGTAGCTTCATTGTTCCCAGCAGCAGTGAGTGCAGTCCCTGCACTCAGCAGGGCACCCTCCTGGCTCTGTGACACTCTTGGAAGAGGACTAGAATGAGAGGAGAGTTCACTCCCGAAGCTTTAATCCTCCATCCCTAGAGGCTCTTACAGGCTCTGCCAGCACAGACAGTAAATTCCTGCGTATCTGCATAGGGCCTCAGATGTTGCAGTGTTCACTGCTACCTGCAAAATCCTTGTGTTCCTGGGTCTCATCTATTTCACTACAAGCAGGATGTTCTCTGTACTGCATTCATCTCACCCACCTAAGCTGCTGGCACACCTCAGGAACAGCAGCATTTGCTGCCGTGCTTGGTCAGATCAAAACCCCCAAGTTGTCCTAGTGTAGCCAAAGCCAAACCCTCTGGTAACCGTCATTTGCAGCAGCAGGCTGCCAGGCAGGGGTAGCTTGTCCAGCACTCACAATCCAAGCTGAGACAACTGGGAAGCAACTGCATCACAGAGATTTTTGTGTTAAGGAAGAGCTCAGACTGGTATTTCAAAGATGCAAATTGGCTTCTAGGAATACACATTTTATGTATGAACTGCAGTGCACAGAGGGAAGAGAGCTCCCCAGTGCATTACTTTGCAGGTCACAGAATTAAAGGGGCACTGGCTTCTGTTGCCTTTGTCTTCTCTTTTCAAATCCCATTGCTTTTATCAAGTAAAAAAATACAATATAAAATTGGGCAGAGTGTCTGTTCACTCAAAAAAGATTCCCTAGGGACAGTCCTCAACATCTCCAGCTTCCTTCAGAAATGAGTCCATATCACCAGCACCATATGGCAGATGTGCTGGTAGGAGAAGCAGTCCTGATCCTGTGTCAATCCTGACACTACTACTGTTGGCAGAGAACACACAAATGGATGCCACTGGCTTCAACAGGAAGTTCACTCTCATCGAAGGCAAAAGTTTTAGTTATTGGACTTGGGTGCTGCACACAAAGGAACAATTCTCTTGTGCCAAGCACTTTCTGGTGATAATTTTCAAGGAGAGCTGTTGCAGATGTTAGCACATGCTTACTTTCTTCAAATCTCAAAGAGCACAGGGATGGCAAGAGAGGAGATATGCAGAAGGGCCAAGACACCAAGTCACATCTCTCTTCTTGGGGATTTAGCCCACAGAGGGAAGGAACAGGAGCACAGAAGTTACATGCTCTGCTGCAAACACCATGTTCCTGCACTTCCCTGGGAATTGCTCAGTTACCTACTGTTCACACTAAACTAATACTTCTCAGGGTTATTTTTCATCTCTTTCCTGGGATTAGCTCCCTGAACACCACTGGCACATTTGCAGAAGGCTCCAACTCATAATTGGAATAACCTGAACCCACAGGGAAATCAAGAGACCTTACTTGGCCTCAGCACACTCCTGCACAAATGGCAACTGCTAGGGAACCTGCCTGGTACCGTGCAGGCAGCAGGGACCTATACCCAGGGCAGACAAGCGACGTTTCCCTGCAAACTCTGAGAGCAGCCCACACACGCCAGCGCTGCCAGAGTGAACTCTGCTGCTCTAACAAAGCCTTTGGGCAGCTGTGACTGGGAAAGCCTAAGCACAGCCCTCCCACTGGTTCTGAAGGATCAGCCTCGGATCTGGCTGTGCCACAGGCAGCGCAGCAGCCAGCCTGCAGTGAGATACATACAGCCCGCTGCGCTCACCACACATGTCCACGATGCAGTGGACCAAGCACAGCGTTTCGAGGAGGCCAAGGCCTCCAGAGGGTGCCCATAAGGCATATCGTGTTTCAGCACCACCAGCACCGCCTGTCTCACCAGCCCACCAGTGCGGGTGGCCTCGATTCAGAAGTGGGGCAAGAGGCTGGCAGCCAGGGGAGCGCACCAGGGAGAGCCGGGGCAGCAGCCTACTGCCCCACAGCCTGTCCCCAAGCACTGCCACCGCCTGCCCCACAGCAGCCCCCTCCCCGCTGCTCCACAGCGCAGGCAGCCCGCGGCCCACGGCACGGCTACAGCCCGCTCCCCGGACCCCACACCGTTCCCCACAGCAGGCAGCAGCACCGGCCCGGGCCCTGCCAGACCCAAGACGCGGTCTCCGAGCCCGGAGCGATGATGCCCGGAGCGATGATGCCCGGGGCGATGATGCCCGGAGAGATGATGCCCAGAGCGATGCCCCGCCCGGCCCCCGCCCGCTCCCCGCACTCACTGCGCCGCCGGCGGAGCCCCAGGCCGTGCCGGGCGAGGCGCGGACTCCGCAGCACGGCGCGTCCCGCCGCCCGCAGCGCCTCCATCCCGGAGCTGCCAAGAGGGCGATACGAGGCCCGGTCAGGACGGGCGGGCTCGCTAACGTCATCACGTCAGCAGCGGCGGAGGCGCTGCGGTTGCCGGGGCAACGCGGGGAGGAGCGAAGTCGTCCGTGCGGCGGCTCAAGCCCGTCCCGAGCCCGATCCCGATCCCAATCCCAATCCCGACCCCGGGCCCGGGGTTGGGGGCTATGCAGCTGCGGCACGAGCGGACCCTGCTGGTCCCGCAGGTTGGGCCGGGCGGGGAGCGGGGAAGGACGGGACGGGACGGGACGGGACGGATCGTCCCCCGGGCAGTGGAGTTGCTGATGCTGTGTGTGCCCCGCAGGACGGGACCGCGCGGGTGAGCTGTATGGCCTGGTCGGCCAGCGGAGCCCGATTCGCAGTGTGCACCGCGGACCGGGTGGTGCTGCTGTACGACGAGCACGGCGAGCGGCGAGACAAGTTCTCCACCAAGCCCTTGGACGCCAAGGTGAGGGCCCGGCGGGGCCTGCTGCAGCTCCTGCGGGCCGGGCAGTGCGCTTGGTGGGCGGCAGCCTTCCCCTGCGGTCACTCTGCCGTTTTCCCACAGTACGGCAGGAAAAGCTACGTGGTCAAAGGCATGGCCTTCTCCCCGGACTCCACCAAAATCGCCATTGGGCAAACAGACAACGTTGTCTACGTCTACAGGATTGGAGAGGAGTGGTAAGTCTGGCGGTGAAGTGTCCAGCGCCCACTTGGAGGGGGCAACGCTCTCCTTCCCACCATGCTGTTGCTTTCTGGGTGTTGATACAACACACATCAGAGTCCTGGTCTGGTCCTTGGATGATGCACATCGTGGTGTTCATCATCTAACCTGCAGGGAGTCACTTAGATGTTTCTGTGGTCAGCAGCAGGTGGGATTTCCCTGAGCACAGCTCTTGTGGAACTCTGTGCAAGCATGCTCCAGCTGAACTTCTGTGGGCTTCTGAGTAAAGCCTGTCCCCTGTTCCATAGATGTGGCACATGGCTGCCTCACTTCAGCCTCATTTGCTGGTGTGTGTTGTGCTAAAGGCACGTCAGAATTTTGGAAACTCATAAGTTGGGTTTTTTTTAAATTTTCTGCCAAAAGATGGCTTGTAATAGTGTACAAAACTTTTATGGGCTGTGTTTGGTAATAGTAAAACAAACTGAATACAATAGTAGGGTAACCAGAATGGGCAGTATCACTACCTTCACAGGTAGTAATGTTTGTCTACCTTTTTCTGCAGGGGTGACAAGAAGGTGATATGCAACAAGTTCATCCAAACGGTGAGATCCAGACTCCTGTTTAACTCCGTTTCCTCCAGCATACGTGGGGTAGACAACTAGAGGCCTCTCTTTTCACACTCGAACTGGCAAAACTGTCAGTGGTGTTTGATCTCCAAAAGATACAGGTAGATCCAAAGACAATCTGTATTTTTAGGCACGTATTACTTGCCAAGCTTTAGAGGCCTCCTAATGACTGGGTACAAACAGTAATTAATTGTTGAATAATCAATGCAATCAGTTTACAAAACTTTGGGGGCTGCTTTAGGCACCAGGAGACAGAATGTCTTAAGGAAGTTGAAAGGGAAAAACAGGAGAAACTGCGAGCCCCACTGTTTTGCACAGGTTGGCAACTCTAAGCCCCAGGATTCCTTATTAAACAAAACATGAGGTGTGTGGAGTTCAGTCACACTGCACAGTTTCTGCAATGTTTGGCCTCAGGTTTGTAATTTCAGTTAGGTTATTTCCTTGCCTTTCTTTGCGTTCTGCTGCTCTAGCTTTTTCTGCATGTGTCAGAGAGCAGTCTGCTCATTAGATCTGCGACAAGGATTATCCTGAGGCTGATTTATCTATGAAAGGCAAAGGTGTTATAAATTCCTTGCATAAAAAGCCATCTGTATGAGAAAACACGGTGCACTTCTTTTACCTTCAGGAGAAAATGTCCAGCAGCTGCCCTAGGCTTTCCAGCCAGTTGCCATCACACTGTGACACCCACTTGCTCTGTGTCACTAGAGGAGCTTTCTGCTAGGTTGGCCCCTGAAGTAGCCAGTACCAGTTTGGGGGGAATCACCCTCCTGGGCCAAATCCGCAGAAAAGAGAGGCAGAGCTCCTTCTGGGGGAGTTGTTGGAGTTTCTCTGCCAGTTTTTCTCAAGCTGCCTCTCAGGTGAAAGGCAGCATCAACCTCTCAGGCTCTCCTTTGCTGCAGTACCTGGCTAACAGCCTGGTGCGAGGCTGCTTGCCTCTCACAAGCTTAAATGCTGTGCACAGCATGCATCCAGTTTTTTGTATTTTTAATGTAGTCGTTCTTTTCTCTTTTCTTTCATTCTTTCATTTTCCCCATTCCTCTCTGCCATTTCTATCATAATAAATCCTTTATTTTTTCTAATGCTATATGTGTGGGTTTTTTGCCAGTGTCCAGTTTTCTCCTGTAACTAAATACTGTTATTTACAAACTTTTTATGTGTTCAGTCAAGATGAGAGATAATTCATTGAGACCTTTTCCTCTCCTGCCATTTTAAAAACCTGTTAAGCACTTTTCCACATCTTACGAGTACAGTCTCACTATTCAGCTTTGCTGGCAAACAAGGCATCCTGCTAAAGGGTCAGGTTGAGTATGTGCAAGTTTGACTTCTATGAACTAGTAGCTGAGTGCATTACCACTTTGTGAGGCTGTTTCTAAGCTACTGGGCTGCTTGTGGTTGTGATAGATTGAAAATAAGAGTCTGGCAGATAAGGAGGGAAGCATCCTATAAAGATGCTGGGGACTGTAGTGATAGAACAAGGGGTAACAGGTTAAAACTTAAACAGGGGAAGTTTAGATTGGATGTAAGGAAGAAGTTCTTTACTGTAAGGGTGGTGAGGTACTGGAATGGGTTGCCCAGGGAAGTTGTGAATGCTCCATCCCTGATGGTGTTCAAGGCCAGGTTGGACAGAGCCTTGGGTGACATGGTTTAGTGGGAGCTGTCCCTGCCCATGACAGGGAGGTTGGAACTTGATGATCTTAAGGTCCTTTCCAAGGCTAACTGTTCTATGAGTCTATGAAATATATGGCTGTGTGGGAAACAGGGGTAATAAAAATTGGGTCTTGGTCATTGGTCGGACATAGAAATTATGAGCAGCTTAGGTATCCAGAGACATTTTGGTGTCTGCTTGTAGCTGTGTTTGCTGATGTGAATGGTAAGAGTGCAGGATACAAAGTGAGATGAATAAATGAGAGTGTATATATGTCTAAAGCAGGCCCAGATGCTTAAAAAGGAGCAGATGAGCCAGTGAAGCTAGTGCTAGTGGCATAGTTCCAAACAGCAAACACCAGCCTTCTTATTGACTGAAGTTCTTCAGTTCAAATGTGGAGTGGATTCATTAATTCTCTTGGCCCTCTGTTACATTTGGGTTTTGTGATCAGCTTTATTTATCTTGACCCCCACCTCAGATTTTGACAATACCTTTGGTTTGGATTTAATGAACCTGCTTCTACCTGACCTACTTGGTAGCATCTGATAACCATCTTGCTCGTAAATTAGAAAGAGACTGTTTCTGATTCATCAAATGAAGGTCCAATGTACCAGTATTCTCATATCTATCACAGAAGCAGGCAGAATCAAGTTATTTTTGTTTTATACATTTTGTTGAAAAAAAAATCATCTTTTAAAATAGCCACACATCTCATCAATAAGTAATTCTTCAACAAGAGCATCCATACTGAACACATTTGGTATAACTCTGATGCCCTGCTTTAGCCCTTTGAACCTGTTTCTTCACCTCAGCTCACTATTATCCAATCTAAGCTTCAGCATGGAAGGCTTCAATCCTACTTTAAGGTCTGTCCAAAAAGGTCTTTTTTGGTGTGAGTGGTCTTACTGTTCCTGAGCTGTCTTGTGTAGCAATGGGGCAAGAAAGTAAGTAGAGTGGAGCTCTTATCTCTCTTTTTACCTCCTCCTTGGCAGAGTGCTGTGACCTGCTTATCGTGGCCAGCGGAGAATATCATTGTCTTTGGTCTTGCCGAAGGAAAGGTAGAGAATCTTGTTATTTGCCTGGTTTTCTTTTCCATGCAGGAGCTGCCAGGGCTTGCAAGCACCCGGGCTGTAGGGTAGGAGCCATTACTATGTGGCACTGGGCATGGAATTACACAAGTGACTTTTTTGTTCTGGTTTCCAGTTAGTCCTTGAAGGCTCTGCTGGATCATTTGGTTCTTTTCCCAGCCCTTTCTAGAAATGTGGAAGTGTACTCCCAGCTTTTCCATTCCTTCTTCAAACTACCAGAATGCAATGAGCTTCCTGTGATTGCTGGTGCTGGTCATGGACTGGGAAACCTATGGGGATGTTACACTGGGGGAAATCCACATTTTGCAGACAGAAGCAACATTGATCAGATTCTCTTTCTTAGGTTCGTTTAGCAAATACAAAGAACAACAAGTCTTCCACCATTTATGGGACAGATTCCTATGTGGTCTCGCTAACTTCCAAGTGAGTATAGCATTGCTTTAGCCTACACTGCTTTGGCTCAGTCTCCTACCCACTATTGGCCCTGGCGTAACTGGTGGCAGTATGGGAGGTTGCCATAGTGTCTTTCTGCTCATCAAGATAATAAAATAACATGCTTTCCAGAAGGAAATCCTTCTTAAAATCTGATACCTGGCTGTGCAAGACTGACCCATGCAGTTTGGTTATCTCTCAAACACATTTCAGGACACAAGTCCCCATGAGATTACTTATATACATTGATTTATCTAATCCAGTACTTTATAAAGATTAAATTTGTCAATTTCATCTGTCTAACTACTAACATTAGTCAAGTTTAAGGGCCAAAGAAAAGTAAAAATACTCTGCCAACTGAAACTGTGACAGGGCTGTAATTAGGAAAATAACGATAAAGTGCAGTTTTAAATTATTTTAATTAAGATTTAATTTTAGCTACTTTAGTCTCATCTACCTAAAAAAAGGTATGTGATGGTCCTAGCAGTGGGATTTTCATTAAATGGTGTCATTCGGGGTTTTGAGTGCTAAACAAATTAGAAAAACCTAAAGCTAGTCCAGGACTTTTGACTTCCTGCTGCTGAGAAATCCCTTCAAAATCTGTCTTTGCCTCTATTCC